GGGGGCTGACAGGAGCTGCCAAGTGGGATGACCACGTCTGGCTCCTGTACGGATAAGGCAGAGGACGGTTCCTGCTCCAAAGAATTTAGTCCTGGGCCTTGACGCTACAAACATTTCTTGTTTTTCTCCTATAAATGAGGAAGAGCAACCCCTCCACCAGTGTCTGTGTGCCTGGTGCTCGACACTGACCGACACACATCAGACCCCATAAAACCAAAGGGGGAGAGCCTGACTCTCTCAGGACAGAGAAGGACTGATTGAACTGGTAGTGAAATATTGGATTGATGAGGCTTCTGTTAGTAGTGGTAGTGCTCGGGGTGTGTTTTACACTCGTGACGCTACAGGCGATGTCGTACATGCCAAGACACACACACACACCCCCCCTCCCTCCTCTGAAAGCCTGGGTCTTAGTTCATGGAAATCCGGGGGTTTGGCGATGGCAGAACCAGGGCCTCGTTAGCGACTGTTGCTGTTTACACTTGGGCAGCTTCTCAAGGCCAATTCGGAGGCTGACGAGGTTACTTCACCTCTTCCTGCTCTGTACCTGATCCCCATTTAAAGGGTTTGGCTGGAGATGCAGGGGGGGATCCTGTCTCTTGCTGCAGCTCCGGGTGTTTGGCGGTGCCGTTACTCCCAAGTGTCCTTGACTGCAACTCCTGAAAGAGCTGCGGGGACAACTCAAGCGTCTGAAATGCCTGGATTTTGCGAGCTGAAGCCTTTGTGTGGCTCCTTTGGGAAGAGGCAGTGAAAACGGATCTGTTTACAGTTGCTGGTTGGATTTTGGGGAGATGGGGGGCGGCTCTAGGGCAGGTTTGTGCGTGTTTAGCAGGAGCGCTCTCACGTTTTGCTTCTCCCCTCCTCGAAGCTCTGCAGCTGGTTGGACACAGGACGGTGGATCTAGACTGTGCGCGGATCAGCTTTCCAAGTGCACTTTATGGTCTCTGCATAAGTTTCCAGATCTGTGTCTAGGCGATACGTTGCATATGTCCCAACCTCGCTCCCTTTGGAGTTTACATCATTTGTTTTGAAACTTCCAGTATATTTTCCTTTTCTCTTCCAAAAGCTGCAAGGAATTAGCTGCTAAACTAAACCAGGAGGGCAATTCTCCTGCTGATAAAGAGCCGGTTTTGGCCGCAGCCGCTGTTGAAGGCAGAGCCCGGGTCTGTAGCACGGCTCCTAGAGCAGCTCCTGTCCGCGGCTGCCGGAGAAGCAGGGCTAACGCCTCCCGCATCGCCACGGTGGAAAACCCAGAGGTGAGGCCAAAGTGGCCAAACTGGGATGGCCAAAAGGAGGCGTTGATGCAGGCGAGCCCTCCTCATCTTCCTCACATGGGGCTCCGGCTTCACAGAGCCTTTGGGGAGGTTGTGACTTCCCTGGAGAGCCCAGCAGCTCCCAGTGATCCACTGGGGCAGGACTGGGGGCTGTGGCTGTTTCCTCTGCTGCGGTGGCATCGTGGTGACAGATGTGACCGGTTGAGTTCGCAGAGGGTGCGTGTCCCATCGTGCTCCCCCTCGCCTCTGCCTTACCTTTAGTACTTGTACTCCTTAAACCCTGTTTAAACCCTCTTAGTGTGTTTTGGAGCGTGGGAGGTGGACTCCTGCTCACCCAACGTCCCCGAGGCCACTCTGGGATCGCCCCGGCGAGGTGCAGGAGTGGGTGCTACCCTAAAGAGCTGCGGAGGGGTCATCTCTGCTTGCCAGGGGGGAAGATGGGGCCGGCACCATCAGCGGGGCAGTGGGACCAGGGGTTAAAGCTGGTTTCCAAAAGCAGGGGATCATCGACCATTGCTCTCAGTCCTGAACTCAGGGTAACGGAAAGGAGGAGAAAGGAGGATGATGATGATGATGATTATTATAATAACAGTAATAGAGCCAAGCTGCCAGTTTCTGTTGGGTTTCTTTTTCCCCTTTCTTTTATTTTCCTCCCCATACATCACACACCAATCACCCCAAGGCTGCTCTGCAGATTCCAGCCTCAAAACTCCCTTTACAAACCCTGGAGAGCTTCCTAGGGCTGGATTTCCCTGGAGTCTTGGGCCTTTATCTTCTCCCATTAATCTTGCTGGAGTGGTCTGGTGGAGGAGCTGGTTTTACTGGGCTGGATCAAACACCTCCCTTCTCTCTCGCACGCCCTTTCACAGCAAACTCACCGCATTTTAGTACCACAAAAAGGTGAGGTTTCCCTCAGCCCAAACCCAGGCACCGGGGTCCACGTTTTGCCCCGTGGCCTCCCCCCCCCAAAAAAAAACCACCCAAGGCTGTTTGGGATGAGGTGCACAAAGAGCTTTTCCTTCCCATGAACCAAACTTCCTCCTCTTTGTAAATTTTATATGTAGAAATAGTTCTCCTCTTCAGGAAAACTCCTCCTTATCAAGGATTTCGTGTCCTGCTGAGCTAAACAAGGGAGATGCTGGCCTTCCCCTTCGCTTTGGAGACTCAAGCAAATGAGAGGTGATTTATTTTTACCATGGTTTTTGTCTGCGGGGCGGGGAGGCGCCGTGTAAAGGCTCAGGGGTGCTGGGAGGTGAAGCTGTATATGCGTAAAGACTGGGTTTGACGCTGAACACTACGAATTCAGGGGTGGATTCAAGAAAAAAAGAGAATGTAAATACGCACTTAACGCAGAATTTTACGGACGGTCGTAATTTAATATATTGCAAACTTTGTAAATACTTGGGAAAAGCCTGTAAAGTGTGTAAATAAATGAGATTTGTATGTTAGGAGAATAATAATAATAAAAGAAGTTTTTACTTTTTGCAATTAAATCAAGTGTTAATGCACCTTTTCCCCTTTCCGGGTTTATTTTCTTTTCATGTTGCGTGTCAGCCACGGAAGGGCTCTTGAGCCATTTTCGAGGCACTTTTTCTAAGTAGTAATGGCATTTTAAGTGAAAAGTTGCAATGCTTTTGTTTGGAAAATGTCAGAAGAAACCCTTTGGTAGGTGTTTTACCTGGTTTCCTAAAGAAAGTTGACGCAACAGCTCTGCCTTTTTCCCAATAACCTGTCCTTCCTTCACCATCCAGCTGATTTCAGAGGTATCAGATGATAAACTTCATAAAACAGGCGAGTAGAGGAGAGAAAAGACCCTGCCACAACCAGGAGGACGCGTTACACACCAGAGGAGCAGCCCCTCAAGCCGTGAGTCAGTGGGAAACCAGGCTTTGCTGCTTGGGCAGCGCAGATTTGTGCCTTTCTGGAGCCCGTCGGCCGTGACCCAAACCCTTTGGACCCCATCGGGTCCCGCACCAAGGTGGGTGGTGGACGGGGCCGGTCCTTGAGCGCGCAGCAGGGAGCTGCATTCCTCATGCGCTTGCCTAATGCCGGGGACACGGCTCCAGGGTGGAGCTTGGACCTCGCGCTGGTCGCAGCCGTTTGTGTCGGCGCTGCGGACGCTGGCTCCAGAAAGAGCCATCGGGGCAGGTTGGGAGCTGAGAAACGGCCCCATGTCCCCCTGTGCCAGCAGCTGCTCCTGGCCTCACCAAGAGCATCGGCTGTAACTCGCATTTTCCCATGAGCCACGTGCCCTGTGACCCCTCCACGGCTCCTTTCTCTTCCCCATGAGCACCGTGCGTCCCATTTTCCTCAATCCCTGTTGCTGTGCAATCTCCTTTGAGGCTTAGGCAGGGCGCTGTAGTGCTGGGGGCTATGTGGCGCTTGGTCCTTCATGTCCACGTTGTGTTTGCAGAGAGCAGGACCTGTTGGGGTCTCGGCCAGTTCCTCCTGAGCCAGGCAGACAGGAGCTGGAGTCAGCGCTGATCCTTTTGAGCTGTTTCTCCAGCAGCAGAGCTTGTGAGGCATCTCACGATGGAGACAGCTTTGCCTTGACCGAGACTATTGCCTTAGCAATAAAACCTCTGGTTCAACCACGATAACCTGTTGGCCTCAGACCCTGCTTGCTGGAATGGTTGGGACTGCTGAGAGGTAGACCCTGCATTTAGTAAAGGAGTAGGTAACATGCAGAGGTAGGAGATTTGGGGGTGGCAGGAGAGCTGTGGTGGGCAGAGAGGTGATCAGTGCGGTCCAAAGCAGAAGGAGAAATGGCCAAGCGCTGCCTGGGGAGCCAGGAGGGGCGAGGGGGGGGCAGAGCCAGCAGCGTGTGATGGATTTGGCTGTGCTGACCCCACTGCCCACCCGCGGATCCTCCCGACAGCCGGGGGTCCCCAGGGGCGGCTCCTGGAGCAGGGCCGGGGCGGTTGCGCAATCGCAGCTGGGGAGGGAGAGGCTGGGGGGGCTCTGCCGGGCAGGGTCAACGTGGGGCGATTTGGGACCCTGTGTTGAGCACAGCCTGGCCCTGCGCAGCTCATGGCTGGGTTTTCCTACACATACAGACCCTCAGCTCCTCTTTTTGGGGACAATTTCACCTTTACATCCCATTCTTCCTCTCCTGAAGGCACAAGGATGGGGGGTCGATGCTCACCCATGTCCCCAGCAGTTTGAGGGAGCCCCAGCTGCCCCTCATTTTCCCCCCATGGTGGTGGGTGCACAGATGTGGGGCAGGATGAGGTGGGCTCTGACTCCGAGCTGGGCTGTTTCCCTGCTGTGAACTGTTCACAACCGTTGCCTTCATTTCTAGACACAGCTGCGTTCCCAGGACAGGGGAGGACCCTTGTCTGAAACAGGGCTTTGCCAATTGCTGTGGGGCTTTATTATTATTCATTTATTATCATAATTTAGGAGAAAAGGGATGGGAAGTAGAAGAGAGGACCCGTCACCGAGGGCTGATGGTGTCTGGGGTGTGGAGCAGCAGAGGCTGGGATGGAAAAGCCCAATGCAGGGATCGGGGGCTGTTTTGGGGAGTGGACCCTGCGCTCTCGTTGGCACCAGCAGCGCAAGGCCGATATGTGAGATGGGTGTGTACCGCGTGGCTCCGAAACGCTGCTCTCATAAAGAAACACATTTCCTCCCCAATCTTCAAGCTGTTGGGTGTTCCTTGCTTTTGGGAGGTGCTTTAAATCCGCCTGCCAGAGCCGGAGGCTGCGAGGAGCAGAAGCTGCCTGCGCGATGCTGAGCTCGGGTCTTCCTCCTCTCCTCCTGCTGCTTGCGGCGCTGGAGCCGGGCTGGTCCCTGAGCGACGAGGACAAGAAGATCATCCTGGATGGGCATAACAAATACCGCTCCCAGGTGTCTCCTCCTGCCGTGGATATGCTGAGGATGGTGAGTGGCTTTTATTGCAGGGGAAATTCGGCGGGTGTTTGTGCTGCACAAGCCTGGATCTCAATGGTAGGAGGGATGGGGGTTTTCTTTAGGGGAAGCAGAGCAAGTGGAGGGCTGCAACCACAAGGGATGAGTTCCCTTTCGCCTATGGAGTTGTCCCACCACAACTTGTGGAGGTGGGGGATGCCCCATTTTGCTTGGGGTAACTGAGTCAGGTGCCCACCATCGCTCGTGGCTGCAGTAGGAAGGAAAACGGGCTCTCGAGTGCTGCTTTTTGTCTTGTTCGGACCCTTGATTTGATTAAGATTTGGCTGTCGTGTCTTACCCTGCCCGACTCGGGATTTTCTCACTGTTTGCAAAACACGAGGAGGAGGAGAAGAACAGCAGTTCACCACGGGCAGTTGAGTGCTTTGCTCTTTTGGTCACAGCGTGCTCGGAGGAGACCTTTTTGGTCCAGAAGTTGCCCAGGCTGAATTAAACCTCTGTGGGTAAACGGGAGCTTAATGAGACAATGAAGCAAAAGCCGTGTTCAGGTGCAGGGGGTGTGAGCAGTGACTGCAGACTCAAAGGGGACAGAGCCAGACCCCCAAGCACCATGATCCCACCAGAGCAAAGCCCAGAAAATTCAGATAACAGGGGTTTGGAGGCAAAGTCTTGGAGAAAACCTGAAGGAAACGAGTTCTCAAGGTGTGGACGGTGGCTGCTGCTCCCGGCTGGAGCTTTGATTGCCGATCGTGCGCTTTGAGATGCTCCTCTCCACGGCGCTGCTTTGGTTCTGCTTAAACACACAGCACCCCTCGCAGTCCAGAGCTTTATTTTAAGTGGGTTGTTTTTTTTTTAAGAGCACCAAATGTTTTGCTTGCAGCCGTCCTAACCATTTATCAGTCATGGTTTTCCATCCCCGTCGCCTCCCGGGGCCGTTCACTGGGGCTGCCCTGGCCCTGCGCTCACCTGCGGCCGCGGCGCTGAGCTCGCCCTGCGCTGCTGTTTGGGACGCGGCTGCGGTTGCTGTGGCAATCGCCGGGTGATGCAGGGGGGATGCATGGCCCAAAGCCGCTTCTCCTCTTTAATGAGGCACATCCTGCAGGTGTGAGTTCTCCCCAGCTCCGTGCCAGAGCCAGAGGGGTGTGCGCTACCCTGGCTCGGGTCCACGCTGGGAGGGCAACCAAATATTTCGGTGTTTCCTTCCCCCTGGGCCATCAGTGCTGCTGCTCAGGGGTCCGTCTGCACCCCAGAACACCCCGATGGCTGCATCAGGGCTGTGCTCTTGTCCCCCTTTGGATCCAGCCCTGGCTCCTGTCCCCGCTCAGGACCCGCTGTTTGCTGGGCTCCCTTCCAGCCCGTTGCAGGAGCAGAGCTGCCGTCTGCATCGAGTGGTGTGGGGTCGGTCCAGACAGCTGTGACTGAGGGTTCCCCGTCTGCCTCCCTGCAAGGAAACCTCTCCTCCTGCTCCTCCTGCACATCAATGGGGCTGGTGGGGGTCCGTGGGCCGGGGAGTCAGCTGGCAGCAGGGCTGGAGGGGTCTCTGGGCAGCAGCTCCTTGGATCGAGGTGAACAGATGAGGCTTCCCAGGAGCTGTGTGGCTGCTGGAAATGTGTCCTGCTCCTCCTGTCCCCACCCTGGGCAAAGAAGGATGACCCCAGACCCCTTTCCCTGTGACCTGGGGTGGTTTTCCTCCCTTTCTCCATCTGACTTCATGGTTGCCCCACGGGTGGTGCTAGGGATGCTCCACGGGTGGTGCCAGGGATGCTCCATCAACAGTGCTAGGGATGCTCCACAGGTGATGCCAGGGATGCTCCATCAATGGTGCTAGGGATGCTCCATGAGTGATGCCAGGGATGCTCCATCAACGGTGCTAGGGATGCTGCAGGTGAGGTTGTGAGCATCGTGCTGATGCCCTGACCTTCCCCTGGTTGACCTAAGGTTTGGGTTGTGCTGGGACTGACTGACTGTGTTGGGAAGGGATTTCTCATGTCATGAATGGGGAGATTGGCGTCCTTGCTCCGTGTCCTTGCGTGTGTCAGAGCGCAGTGTCCCTCTCTGTATGGTGACACCGAGCTCCTTCCAGAGCTGGGACGCGGAGCTGGAGGCCTTTGCTCAAGCCTACGCAGAGAAATGCATCTGGGACCACAACAAGGAGAGGGGACGGCGAGGGGAAAACCTCTTCGCTATGGCCCCAACCCTGGACCTGGAATTTGCTGTGGAGGACTGGAACGGGGAGGAGAAATACTACAACCTGACCACTTCCACCTGCGTCCCCGGGCAGATGTGCGGCCACTACACCCAGGTACCGAGGGATGGGGGGCTGCTGGGAAGGGAGCGGAGTCTTTGTGAAGGGATGGGGACCAGGCAGGAGTCACAGTGATACGGGGGGACATGGATGTGGTGCCAGCCGTGACCAGGAGTTTTGGAGAAGACCTCTTTTAAAGAAGCTCTGGGTGCCAGCTTGGTTTAGGCAGAGATCTGAGGTGTGGGTGCTTCTTCACAGCTTGGGTGGGAGCAAGGAGGAGCGGAGATGGCGGTGGTAGATGTGAGGAGGGACCAAAGCGGGGCTGGTGATGCTCCACATGGGTAGACGACGTGGCAGGAAAGCTGTGGCACTTGGATATTCATTGGAAAGGTGATCCAAGCAAGGGCAGGATCCCAGCTGCTAAAGCCATGTGGGATGAGGGAGATGAGGGGGACATCGGTGTGGTGGCCAGGGGATGGGTTGCCAATGGGGCGTCTGCCTTCACCCCATCACCTCACCCCTGGTCTCTGCCCTAGGTGGTCTGGGCAAGCACCCATCAGATCGGCTGCGGGGCAAAGTTTTGTGAGAAGATCGAGGGGATCGACACGGAGGGGATGTACCTGCTCGTTTGCAACTACTATCCCCCGTAAGTCCCCTGTCTTGCGTGGTCTGGTGCGTCGTGACGGGGTTTCTGTGCTGGAAATGCCCTTCTTTTGGTCTCAAAGAGGGCCTGGCCTTGCTCAGAAATGAAGCAAAGCGATTCCAGGAAGGATCTTTGTTATCTGGGCTGGGCACAAAGGCAGGAAGGGTCTGGTGATCCCTGCCCACAACTGCTGGGGTCTGGTTCAGCCCCTGGCGCAGACCGGGGGAGGGAGCTGCCCCCGGGAGCTGATGCTGCCACGGCTGAGGGTTCAGCCGTGCTCTGTGCTGTGTTATCCCCTTCTTCTTAGGGGTCATGAGCAGAAGGGAGACAAAAACCCCTGTCCAAACACCCATCAACTGCTCTATTTTAAGCAGTGGTGAAGGACCTGCTCCATGGAGATGTCTCCCCTGGTTTTAGCAGCCCTGGGGTCAGACCATTGAGTCTGTGACAGGAGACCAAGACCCGCTTTCTCCATTAATCCTAAATTTTGCCTTGGCTGGGATGTTCCAGTTGAGTCAGACCCCAATTTGGGGGTTTTGCCCTCTCTTCACACCTTGTTTTTGGCATCTTCTGCTTCCAGGGGCAATATGAAAGGCCGAAAGCCGTACAGGGAGGGACCCTCGTGTTCGCAGTGTCCCGAGGGCACAGTCTGCATCAACTCCTTGTGTGGTGAGTACAGTGGCATGTGTCCATTTGGGGCTCAGACCCCTGGGTTGGGCTCCAAGCTCTGACCCCCCTGGAGCCATCCTGGACCAGGAGCCATCAGCTGCGATGGCAGCCCCTGAGCCAGGTCGGGATGAGGAGGATCAGACAAGGACCTCGCACCCCGTCTGCCCCATGGGGACGTCCCTGGCAGGGCAGGAGGTTGTGTGAGGAACAGGAGGTGTCTCCAGGCTGGGAGATGGCCCAGAATGACCTGAGAGGGGTCGGCAGCTGCTTCACCCCCCGCACTGTCTGCTCAGGGCAGGGATCCATTGGGGTCAGCAGAGCCCAGCCCTAACCCACGGCACTTTTCATCTCTCACCAGAACCCACTGTAGAAGAGAGCACTCCAGCCTCTGTGACAGCACAGGCAAGGCCATCCACAGCCAAACCAGA